AGATCACATTTTCTCGCCAATAGCACTCAATGGACAATAATTTATTTGGTAGTTTCAGCCATAAAAGGTATTCGCGCAAAGGGAAGGGCAAATTATTGGTGGAGTCCCAGACCTTTTCAGCTGACAGTCGGAAGATCATATTCGAGACCCGGTGTACAGCACAGATGATTTTCAATGTTTTTTTGGGCAAAGAATCTAGCAATCTTCACAGTGACAACAAAGCTAACAAATCTCAAACTTAATAGATATTGTGCCTCTATTCAATCATCCTTTAAGTGGGAGAACTATTGCCTTGCCCCTTGCGTCCCTTGGTAGTGTAAGGGGTAAGCACGTCCAATTAGCAGTTGAAATATCCATGGTTTGAATCCCGGTGAGAACATGTTGATTTTTCACATTTCATGCTCATAAAAATCATAATAGTTTCTACAAGATGAGTTATAAAAATATAAAATAAGTTAGAATTTCCTACTGAAATGATGTATATAACTCTACTTTTAGAAAGCAACAATGACAACAGTTTTTTTATGACAAGATTATTTAGAAAGAGAACCCAAGACAGTTTTAAAATTCATAAATATTTTGGTAACTCTAAGAAATGTTCAAACGGTTTTTAGCGTTTAATTTGCTTGACATTGGAAGCCAAATACATCCTTATTTGAGTTCTGGAGATATAAACATCCGGCTAATTAGGAAACCACAGAATGACCGAAGAGACAGATTCGCAGTGTTTGACAGCTACACATCTCCTGAAATCTCCGGAAGAACTTATTAAGCATAATAAAGACATGTTATGTCAGAAATAACAAAAGAAGCTAGAGAAAAAGCAATTGCTAAATTGAAACTGCCACGCTAAATGAAAACGGTTTAGATTACATCTTCTTCACCATATAAGAGGAAATCCTCTATTGATGCTGCTTTAATTTTTGTCTATGTATATTGCCGATTGTTGAATGAAAGATGACTAATTTTTTTCTTGTTTTATACAATTTTGGATAAGTAACATCTAAATTTCGGACATCAGTGAGCGTACGAAAGTTCGTTTACGCCTTTTTCGGTTTAAAAGTTTTACATTATAGCACTTTTCTTCGAATTGCATAATAAATCTGAAGAGGTTTTTGGCATGTTAAAGACATTTATTAAATTCAATTTTACAATAGAAAGCGAAAGCAAAGATATTAGTCAGAACTTATTTCCTGCACTCAAAATATGATTTAATTATGAAAAACTAAGAAGATTAAGAGCAGTTTTGGAAAGTTTCATTAATTGCCCAATTGTTGCAGATTGTTGTTAATAAAAGTTGTAAGACATGCATTTTCTTCTTCTTTCTTCCTTTTTTTTCTCTTTCTTTAAAGTTTTCCACCGAATTTAAATTAAAAAAAATTTCTATAGAATAAATGTTCCAATTTACTAAATAATCTAAAGAAAATTTGAAGTGAAAGTATACTATGTTCTTACTTTGTCATGTTTCTACGCAGTGTTATCAGATTGTGCGATTTTTCGCAAATTTGATACTTTTGACAAATTTTTGCTACTAAAATTTATGTTTATGCGAATGTGCGACTTTTCTGCTACTTCATTATTTCGCTGTGCTCCTTTTTGCTCCCAAATTTCTTTTTAATTTATCATGAAATTTGTTACTATAATACATCTATTAAATTTAATTTATAATAAAAATTAAAGAATTATTTAGACTTAAATCAAATCTGACAACTGGCAAAGTTGCAAGTAGTTAATGAATGCACAGGCATTCAATTTTCAATTACGAGTAACTGACATTTTCATGTGTTTTATTGATTTCTTTGTTTAATATGTTCTTGATCTGTAAGTATTTAATTTGATATACTATAAAAGTATATCAAGGAGTTCGAAGTTTAAATCAGATTATACCTGCTGTGTTTTAATTTAAGTATGAATTATGAGTAACATGAAAAAATTCAACACCACCTTTCAAAATGTTTGGCTTAAAATATTCGTGTTTGAGAATTGGATAGGAAGAATGAAAACAAAGAAGACAAAAACTTGTAGAGACATTAGATTTTTTTTTGGGGGGGGAAGCAGGAGACTTGAAAAATGAGCAACGCCTTCGCCGCGAATCGAACCACGGACCTCTGGAATACGTGCCCAGCATGCAGACCACTACACCACGAAGGCATGCTAAGAAGGCGGGAGAAATATCTTATAAGCTTATTAAAAGTTATATAAATGTGAACTGAGGGTACAGAAAATTGATTTAGTGAAGCACGATATTTCTTTAAAGCAAAAAGCAGATTTTACACTTGAAAACAGATAGTTGTCTTAGAATGTGTTCACTGTGTTTTTATATAATACAATTTTACTTCAAACGCTACTTAATTAACTTTAAAATGAAAATTTTTTTAGAATAACTGACATATACAGTCCAAACAGAACAAAGTCAAATTCTTAGCAGCTAAGATATGAATGTCTATTCAAAACTAAAATAACTACCTCATTATAAATAACATAAAACCTCATTATAAACAAATAAATTTAAAAGTGAAAGAAGGTATGAAAGCCTTTTATGAGCAATAAGGATTTGATGATATGGAATGAGTTCAACAGTCAGAACAAAATTTAGCTCTTCAAATAAAGTTAAAGAAAAACAAGAAACAAAGAATGAAACTCAAAAGAACTAAAACTCTGTCAACTCAAAATAATTAATATAACAATATTAGCAATCCAAACGCGAAAAATCATCTAACAATAGATATATTGAGTTGGCAAGTAAGTAATCTCAATTTGCCCAAATAGATAGATAGCGTTGTGTTCGTTTTGCTATCCATTTGTCAATCTTATAATTTTTTTTTCTTTAGAGGTATGGCAGCTGACACTTAGAAAAACAAATTCAGTTTTTTTTTTTTACAACTGTTACCTATGGGCAATTTTAATATGGAGTGCAACAATAAACATTTTCGACATATTTCGCTTTTTTATTTTCATAAAGACAAAAAAGCGGCTGAGGCTCACAAAAGTTTACAGTATTGATTGCTTAATAGAATATATGTGTTAGAACTGGCTTAAAAGCTTCCCTTCTGCAGAATTTTCACTTGAAGATGACTGACGTTCTGGTCGATCTTCTTACTTTGATGATGACAAAATAAGTAATAATAATGAATAATAAGCCATAATTGAATCGAATCGTCATCTAACTATGAGACAGATTGCAAAAATGGTTAAATGTATCACACACAACAATTAAAAATCAGATAAGATGTCCTGTACACATTAAGAAGCTCGGTATTTGGGTTCCGCGAGAACTGAAAGAAATTCATTTAAAATCCCGAATCGACATTTACGATACCACTTTCAAACGTAGTGCATCCAACACTTTTTTGAAACCAATTATAACTGGTAATGAAAAATGCATTATCTACAATAACAACATTAATCGAAAGAGATTATGGTCCAAGCATGGTGAATCAGAAGCATATCGAAAGCTAAACTGCATCAGTAAAAGACCATGCTGTCAATTTCGTGGGATTATAAAGATGTTGTATATTTTGAGCTGCTTCCAAGAAACCAAATGATCAGACCTTTTATAATCGAAAATAACACCATAATTAATCATAGTCTTTGCAGAATAACATACTGTTATATCTGTTTATTCTCCGTAGTCTAGGGTAGAGGTCAACAACCTCTAAGATGCGTAGCGAAAGTGGCGTTCGGAACTAAACAAATTTAATAATCCGTTTATAATAAATAGCCTGCTGGTGAATTGAAATACACTGTTATGATCTCATAAAAAATGAATTTTTATTTATACTATAATCCTTTTAACGATATTCATTGTATTATAGGAGGCATTCTATGAAACATGAAAGCCGGAGTCGTTAAAACTTGCGGTTTTGAAAAAATAAACATTTGTTTGTCTCAACAAACTCTGCCAATTTATTGTTTGGAGAAACTGGAAGAATCAATAAAAGAGAAAAGATCAGAATCGGCAAATCGCAAATGAATCGTGTTCCTTCACCACAATCGGAGGCCTCACATACCTGTAAAAAATTATTGGTGCTTGAGTGGTAAGTGATGTCGCATCCTTCATATAGACCCGACCGTGCATCATCGCATTATCATTTATTTCGAAGTTTACAAAACTTCTTAAATTGTAAAAAATTTAGTAATTATGATGAGTTCAAATGGCATTTGGTTGCGCTTGTTGCTGATAAAGTTATGAGCGTGGAATGAAGTTACCAGTAAGATGGCAAAAGGTCATCGAACAGAACGGAAGTCATTTCACTGATTAAACGTAATTAAACTGAGTTTTATTTCACACTAAAAAACCAAAATCATTTCCTTGTTAGTCAGATAAATAAATTTACGACAAAATATAAGCCTAAATTAATTGAGAATTAAGGAAGAAATGAAGATTTAAACAATGAAAAATTAGCAATATGGTATGGAGACTTTCGTCAAAACTAATATTCCTAAGACCGAAAATCGATTTATATTCCGTAACCTACGGAATCCTTGGAGACTTAATTTGTGAGGATGTTAAAAATCACATGAGCTTACGAATCTCTGATGTAACAAAATAACGTAATTTCTGACGTCACGTGCTACTTTTTGCAACTTTCGGTTCTTCTGCTGGTACTTCAGCTGAAACTTTTCTGGCCATTTCACCATTTCTAAGCTCAAAAAAGCGATTTTTTAAATTACCTATAAACCTATGGCTAAAATGATAAAGGATACATAGGGGAAATATTATTTTAAGAAATCCAACTGCGAGACAAATTATTTTTAATAAGTAATTAAGGAAAGGAAGAGCATTGGCTTTTAGTTTCTATTTAAAAAAATTAATCTTTATTTCCTAATTAGGCAAATAACATTTTTCAGTTTATTTTTTCGCTGCGGACACCAGATAAAATGAAAATAATTTGTATTCACCTGCAGAAGAATTTCCGCATACTTATAGAAAATACTTATGGAAATTTCCCGTGAAAATCAATCATATGAGGAAAGATAAAAAATTCGATAATACCAACCTGAGTCTATAGCGGGCAGATTGCGTGAGGCCGGTGAGGGAAGCGGCTGCTGCAACACTAAAAATCACCAGTCCGAAAGTCACGTGAGTTGGAATCATCGTCTGCCGGAATTTCGCTGTAGCTGTATCACAACAAAGGAGTACCAAGAAAGTGAAGAAACCCACAATGAACTGAAAAGACAGATTTCAGTAAGAATAGATAAATACGCAAATAAACGAATTCTAGTGAATTTGAAGTAAATTTAGCAAGGAAAGATAATTTTGAAACGTTAATTTTCAGTTAGCATACTTTGAATTCAACTCCATATTACAAATAGTATCAGAATTAATTTCAGAAATTAAATTTTATCGATGATATATTCATATCTTGATTCTGAAAGCATTTCAGCTATCTTATTTTATACGTTACGTTATAACGCTAAATCTTGATCTAAATAAAAAAATGGCCTGAAGCGAAATGATTATAAAGAACTTTCTGATACTTTATGATAAATTCTGACGTAATCATGCGTCAGAACTGATTTCATAATTAAAGTCCAGTTTTACTATTTTTTCCAACTTACAGAAGATTTTCTGAATACTTCAGGGAATGTTTTTTCATATTGCCTCTCAAACGGAAATTAATAAATTGCGTACATACTGCCTCTCATAGACTTTAAATTATTAAACTTCATTTCTTTTAAACTGCTGAATTTTAATGCTTGGAGCAAAAAGAAGTTACCTTAGCGCAAATGCTGATGCCATACACGATAAATTAAATACAACTCTAAACTGATTGAAATAATAAGAAAACTGCTGCACAAAAATTAATAAAAATATATCATTTTGTGGAAGAGAGGTATTTTATCTTTAAATTTAAATTATATTTAGAAGCTTCCTAATTACAATGTTATTGACCACACGTGTTCTTAAAATTCATATTAGGGAAGGAAATATCTTAAACATTTAAAGCTTTTTGTTAAGATTCTCTTGTGACACAGGTATAGCAGATAGAAGTTCCATTTTCAAACTGGACAGTTTACAGCGGAAGAGTTTTATGTTTCAGAAGATGCAAAGTATTGTTACGGATTTGGTACTTAAATAGTTAATGTTTGTATAGAGTTATAAATAAAATTGTTTTATTCCCCGTGCAGTGCAGCGCGTGACGAATATTAAAGCAAAGCTAAGCCGGAAAATTAAACTACAAGAGCACGCGCATTTAACATTTAATAAAAAAAATATCTCCTTTTGATTTCGAGAAATTGCTAGAACAATCTCGCGTGTGATGTAAAAAGATTATAAAGTGGAGGAAAACCTCTCAATTCAGTTAATTGTTGTTTTAAGAGTTTGTTTAGAAAACTGCTCTTGTTGACTGTAGCGAATTCGCGGATTAGCTTTCTTTAGCTGTTTTGAATTACGTTCTGTTGAACGTTTGGGTAGTTAAAAGATAACTACTGTGAGATATTGTAATACCGTACGAATATCTGAGGAAAATTTAAGCATTTTGTTTTATTTGTTGTGATAATAATAAATTTTTGTTCATTTTTCATCGGACTTGTGCATTTAATTCATAACGAACCCGTATACGCACGCAACAATTTTTGGTGTCAGAAGTGGGATATTTTGTGATGCCGTAGCGGAAATTTCTATTTTCGGCTATGGATCCAGTAAGTAAAAACTCGGTTCTTGCGGATATTGTGATATCGTCTTGAGCTGTAATTTTGTGGATAGATTTCACTCCTTCATCCTTAATTCCGATCAGGGAAAGAATTTTACCTCGGCAGTAATCAAAGAACTATGCAAACTACCTGGCATTGACAAAATCCAAAAGACGCCATTACATCCCCAGTCGGATGGCATGGTAGAGAAGTTTAATCGAACCATCCTTAATAACCTCTCATTAGTGGTTTCCAGAAACCAATAGGACCGGGACAAGAAATTACCACTGTTTTTACTGGCTTACAGCAGTGCTGTCCACGAGACTACCGACTATTTCCTATCACAGATGCTCTTCGGTTGTGACCTTCGTCTGCCTTGTGATCTCTTGTTTGGTCGCCCTTCGGATGCGCCTTCATCGCCTGAGGAATATGTTCAAAATCTCTTGGCCCGGTTTGAAGTGATGCACAACTTTGCACGAGAGCGAGTCAACTTGACGACGGAGATGATAAAGACCCGATACGACACAAGAGCTACTGAACATCAATTCCAAGAAGGAGACAAAGTGCTGTTGTGGAATCCTACTCGAAAGAAAGGACTCTGTCCGAAATTACAGTCAACCTTGGGATTGTTCGTGCACAGTCCTAAAAGGCTGGATGACGTCGTGGTTCGGATCCGTAAGTCATCGAACTCTAAACCTAAAGTCGTTCATTACGACAGGTTAGCATTCAATACTCCACTCCTGACACCAAAACTTCAAACCAGCCATCAAAAAGATATGAATTCAACCATCAAGGAGAAGGTGGATGCCGGTCAAGAAGATATGAAATTGGGCCAAATATCTGTTAAAGACGAGATGAAATACGTTAAAGACGAGATGAAAGCAGGTCAAAAGGAAATGAAAAGAGAAATTGCCTGCGTAAATAGCAAACAAATTCGAGGCTATAGAAAGTAGAATAGAATAGGTCAAAAGTAACGCTGGAGAAATTGATGAAAGAGTTTCTTCTGTCAAATAATAAATAGAAGGGAGAGTTTCTGCGGTGGAGTAACAAATTGAAGAAAGAGTTTCTGCCATCCAACAACAAATTGATGAACGGGTTTTTGCTGCTGTTGCCAAAGATAAGTTGACCTTTAAAAGAAGTGCATAGCGACAGAAAGATGCAATTCTGAGGGCTTTAAAGTTTTAACCATGCCTGCTAATCCTTCACTGAAGCTGTACACGTATGATGGGAAGACCTCCTGGCAAGTATATCAGACACAGTTTTCTATAGTGGCGGAAGCAAATGGATGGGATCCCTAAGCTAAGGCCTGTCATCTCGCCGCTTCTTTGAGAGCAGACGCAGCAGATATCCTTCAGACTCTTCCCGAAAACAAAAGGTTAGGTTTCGAAGCTCTGTCCGGCGCCTTGGAGCTGCGCTTTGGGGAGAAGTGTTTAAAAGACTACAGCAGGCTCCAATTAAAATCTCGTCAACAGAAGCCTACCGAAACACTTCAGGAGCTCGCGACGGATGTTGAAAGGCTGTTCCATCTAGCCGTTTCGGAGTGCTAGACAGAAACAAGGGAAATCCTGTCCTTGCAATACTTTATTGACGACATCAGGGATCCTGAAATACAGAAAGCACTACGAATGGCGGATGTTAAAGATTTAAAAAACGCTCTAGTGTATGCCATGAAATTAGAGGCAGCCCAGCAAGCAGACTCGTTGAGAACACCACCCAATTCAGAGCTGCTCATGTCCAGGAGCCAAGGGATCAATAAGTCACTGTTCGTCTAGACGATATAACCAGACAAACTCAATGACCTTGAGAAGAAATATCAGTGAAAAGAAACCGACCTTAAAATGTTGGAACTGTGGAGCTGAAGGACACATACGGCGGAACTGCAGGTACGGATGTTAAGATCGCTCCTAACAAGCAGCAGGTAAACTAATTAATGACCATCTGGCGGGGCGGAAATTATCAGATAATGAAAAGCCCCATTTTAAAGCATTTCAGATTTCCACAGTGAGAGGCGGCAGTAATGGACTTTTCCTAATAGGAAATACTAATGGAGTTCCCTGCAATATGACGATAGATACAGGAGCCAAGGTTACCATCATCCGAAAAGATTTGGCTCAACAATTGGGAAGCAAACTTATCTGGACGCCGCCCTGCGTTACCTTCCAGACTGCATCCGGTGAGAAGATCGACATCGGCGGAAAAGGAAGCGTTAACATCACGTTTGGAAGTGCCGCTTACCATCACACGGCATATGTAGCAGAGATCACTGATCCTTGCATACTCGGATTGGACTTTCTAGGGAAATACAATTTTTCCTTAGACTTTAAAAATAACGAATTGCATCCTACATCTGAGGACATAGCCCTATTCGGAATTAATGATGAAGGAGTGAAATCTATCCACAAAATTACAGCTCAAGACGATATTACAATACCCGCAAGAACCGAGTTTTTACTTCCTGGATCCATAGTCGCAAATAGAAATTTCCGCTACGGCATCACAGAATATCCCACTCCTGACAGCAAAAATTGTTGCGTGCGTACGGGTTCGTTATGAATTGAATGCACAAGTCCGATGGAAAATGAACAAAAATTTATTATCATCACAACAAATAAAACAAAATGTTTAAAATTTTCCTCTATTCGTACAGTATTACAATATCTCACAGTAGTTATCTTTTAACTACTCAAACGTTCAACAGAACGTAATTCAAAATAGCTAAAGAAAGCTAATCCGCGAATTCGCTACAGTCAACAAGAGCAGTTTTCTAAACAAACTCTTAAAACAACAATTAACTGAATTGAGAGGTTTTCCTCCTTTTTTATAAACTTTTTAAATCACGCGCGAGATTGTTCTAGCAATTTCTCGAAATCAAAAAGAGATATTTATTTATTAAATGTTAAATGCACGTGCTCTTGTATTTTTAATTTTCGGGCTTAGCTTTGTTTAAATATTCGTCACGCGCTGCACTGCACGGGGAATAAAAGAATTTTACTTATAAATCTACTAACATTAATTATTTAAATACCAAATCCGTAACAGTATTCATTCATTGTTAATTTGAAATTTGCATTTTGAAGATAAAAATCCATCAAACTATCATAATTTTATACTTGAGAACAGATAGTGTTCTTAGAGTGTGTTCACCGAGAGTTCAAGAACATTAATTGCATGTGTAAAAACAAGAGCTTTGGTCAGCTAAGTGTTTTTAAGGAAATATTAATGAAAATTTTGAAAGAGTTTCCTGCCTAGCCTACAAAATCAGCAAATCGCATAAGTCCCGAGCTTGGTAATCCATGCCAAACCATCTCAAAGACTTGTGATGGTGATTGCTCCTGCAACCGTTTGTGGATACTGCAGGCCACACGATCAGATCAAGCGATAGGCCACATGATCATGATTAGATCAAGCGATACGAATTTTGAAATTGAAGTATAAGGTATTTCTCCCGCCTTCTTCGCAGACCTTCGAGGTGTGGTGCTCTGCACACGGCGCGAGTATTCCGGAGGTCCGTCAGTCGATTCCTGGCGAAGGCGTTCCTAATTTTTTATCTTTCCTGCTTCCAAAAATACCTAATGTCTCTACAGTGGCGTCCGAACTAAAAGGTGTTGGATGATGATTCTCCTTACTTAGGATGTGGCGATTGTGTCCCCTAAAAACACCAGTCGCCCTTTAAGAGGGGGAGTATATAAGGTATTTCTCTCGCCTTCTTGGCATGCCTTCGTGGTGTGGTGGTTTGCACACTGGGCGCGTATTCCAGAGGTCCGTGATTCGATCTCGGCGAAGGCGTTTCACATTTTTTATCTTTCCTGCTTCGAAATAACCTAATGTCTCTACAGAAGAAACGAAAAACTGAACACGTCAGTTTTTCCCCCTGTGTAATATTCAATGACTAAGTTACCTTTCAATTGTACGGAATGTAAACTGTCACAAAATTCGGATAAAATGGATTGAAAGTTGTCATGGTCTCGTTGAACAAAACAGATTCATCATCTCCTGCGCCAGTTCACAGATAAAAGCAGAGGATCATTTCTCTTATTCGAATACACTATGACGGCTAAGTCCCATCGTCATATATTTCAGCTGTGATTATTTCTTCAAATGAAAGATGATTCAGAACATTTTATATTTCAGCAAGATGGGATTGCATTTCTCTGTCCTAATAAATTACGCTTTTACTTGAAAGATGAAAAGAAAGATGAGTTCCCACATCATTGTGTTAGACGGTATGATAATTTAACATTATTGGAATAGCTTCCATGGTCTCCTACCTTCCGCTGAGTGATTTTTCATTTGACAGATGATGCTAATGTGTCCAAACTAATTACATGAGAAGAGCTCCAAAACCGCATTACAGCTACTTTGGGGACTTTCAGTAAGGGGAAAAGTTACAACGCGTATGAGCGGCGGAGTACCGCTTGGATGTATATCGTATAACAAGTCGAAAATTTATAGTATTATGACTAAGATTTGAGAAAATTTCATTTTGTATTCATGATTCATTTTCAATACTTTATTAAATACAGCTTTTTGAAACCCGATGTTTCACTAGTAATAGCCTTGTACGTTATCACGAAATAATACTATATTATGGAAAAACATTATTATTATATTAATAACTAATTAAAACAACAAACAAATAAAAATGTACATTGGTTTCTTTACAGATTAGCAAAAATTTTACAATAGTTTGAAAAATATTAGACTGTTTAATTAAAAAAAGATACAAAACAAAAATACAAACTATTTATTTTTTATTTTGAATAGAAAAATAATTTTGGTAATGGTGGTACTAATAACTATATTTATTATTTTGACACTCAATTTGTGCTTGTTTATTTGAGAAAATTCGGATATTAATTGCAAATATGTAAGGAAGGAAGGTTGTGCACTACACTATCAGGATTTGAGCAACCCAAAAAAAGTATTTAGGTAATAGAAAAGTTTAGAGAAGGCTCTGCTTTATATACGGATTAAGGATCAAATTAATGTTTTCCTATTATAGAAAAATGAAATTTTCTGATTTCATTTAAATTAAGTCTTTACATTTTCAATATAATGTTTAAAAAATCTTCTACATCTGTGTTTTATAACTCATTACTTTTATAAAAAGCATCAAATACAACTTATTAAAACAGCAACAAAAAATACAATTCATAAAAGTATTTGACGTTTATTGGAAATGTTCCAAAATACGTTTCTGAACGCAAGATGTTGTACTTCCAATAATATGCTAAGCAAGCAGTTTTAACACTTCTCCTATTTTTGCATAGTAATCAAGTATAATGCAATACAAGTTCGCTAATCGATATTTAGGGCATATATATATTTTCAGGAATAATTATTGGATACAAAAGAAATAATTCTCCTTTTTTAGGAAATATAAGGATGTGGAAAAGAAAATGAAAAAAAAAAAAAATGTCATCTGATATTAAAATATATGTCTTATACTTGACAGGTTTCCATTACCAAAAATGCATAAACTTCGCTAGGATTTCAAATATAATAAATAGTAAGTAGATTCCCTTGATGTAACATCAGATATCGTTTTACCCACATTACATAGCAGTTTACGAATAATCAGTAAATTCTCTCATTATAGTGCTTTAAAATTTCTAAATTTTAAATAAATTTTCTTAAAATCAAAGAATACTCATCTTGAAGTTTCATAAAGATGACTGCCACAATCTGTTTTTTTCAGAACATCTATCCTCCTTCTTCTATTTTTTCTTAAAGAACATAATGGGTTTTGTTAATTTATTTGATTACGGCAAAGTACTCGAGGGCTACTTGCCTAAAGGAAGGGATAACTTTGAGGAGGGCTTTCTAAGGGAAACTGGCTCGTATATATGTTAGACACAGGGAAAACCATGAAAACGCCCATGCCTCCAATCCGTTCGCTGAGATCGAACCCCGAGCCGAGCTACCAGTGCTTAGCGACTTTCCGCTCGGCTGCTGGTGGGCTAGAAGTTACTGGAAAATGGAAAAGTGAAACTAAGAAATGCTTAAGAAAGCATGGAAGTCCTTTACGATAGTAAATTTCTTGTATGATTTTATAATACTAGACTTGAATTAAAATTATTCGTTTACTTCTTTCTTTTTTAAAACATCTCTTTAATAATTTGATATGTTATTTGATTAGAAACGGAAAGCGAATTAATCTACGTGTAGTAATGATAGTGAATGATATACGAAACTTATGCTTCACAACTAAATTTTGGCTCCGTACATACAACCAGGCGACTTATCGCCTTTGTCTTAATCTTTCCGAGAAATACCTACGTGCTCAGAAAAAGGTTTAAAATAAACCCCTATTATTAGAACTTCAATTTTACGCCTCTTTTAATAAATAGAACAACTCATCGCAGCTCACGGGATTTCAAAGAACATAAATGTCAAAGTAAAATTGAAATAGTTAAAGTATGCAATTCGCATCCTAAAGTTCAACTACAAGCTTTGATTAACTCCTTCTAAACACGCAGTATAGAGATTGTTAGCGGTTCTCTCTTAACTTCAAGAACTGAAGTTAACTGAAGTTAAGAGAGAACTAAAAGTTCTCTCTTAACTTCAAGAACTTTGTTCTCATATACTTTAACTAATTCGCAACCCGGCAGGTGCCGACGAAACTAGAAGTAATAATAAAGGTAATTAAAGGTGATAAGATAATGAGTTAATAAATATAAAATATAATAATGCCATTATCAAAAAGGCTGCAGAAGCCATCAGATGACAGGCTCATCTAATCTCGATTTTCATTTTTGACATTCATGGAGAAGGATTCAGTTCAAACAGATAGCTCAAGGAAGATTATGTACATAAAGAAAGTTCTATCATTGCAATGTGATCAAATGACATCCAAGTTTCACCAAGACATACAGCATTTCATCATACTTTAAGTCTCTCGAAAATGTGGTTTCAGTTGCTACTTACTTGTAAAGCAAAGAGTCCGCAAGCCACGAGGCCAATCCAGGAATGCAAGCTGTAGAAATGAACCGGGTTGGGACCGTCATTGTGGGCATCGATGGCGGCATACATCCCAATAGCAATGCAGGCGATAGACATGACAAAGAGGATAGCGTGCACAATCTTATTGTAGATCTTTTTGCAGCAAGGAAAGCAACGGTACACAAGCATCGCTGAATGTACAAGAAATAATAACAAAGAAATTTAAAACATCCGTATTTCATAAAAACATGTTATTAATAATATTATTAGTTATTAATATTATAATTTAGAGCTATCCAAAAATTAGTTCAACCTTATTCAGTAAACTGGGTGATTAAGTAAACTGAGTGAAACAACCTTATTCAGTAAACTGAGTAAAATGAGATAATTTTAAATAACTGAAAAAATAAAAACGACTTAATTCCGCTTATTAAAACTTCATTTTCAAGTATAATAAATGAAATTTTAAATAATTCTTGACTAAATACTGGAAATAAAATTGGCATATGTGCAAATTTATTTTATATTAAAATACTCAATTTGTGCATCATTCAGTCAATATTAAGCTTATCACATATTCTAACCTAATGGTCTTTTACTACAAATAAACTGCCCATTTTTCTGAAGTTGTTTTGCAAAATTTACACATGCACAATATACACTTTGTGAGGAAAATGAAGGTGGGATTACATATTTGCTCATAAAAACAAATTTTTTTCATACTATTTTAGGTAGCGATAAAAATTACCATTTATTTAATTATTTTAGATTTTTACTTTCGCAGTTCATACAGCATTCAAGCATTCTTCATCAAAGTACGAAATTGGTATTCAAATTCGATAATTTTAATTTCAGGTCTTCAAGGTTTTATTTTGACTTAATAGAACCACTAGAGCATGGGTTTCCCAATGTATAGACCCCAGGGTTCGATGAAAGTTTTGGGTCACTGGTGATCATGAGGTCAACAGCTGAATATGCCTCGACAGTTTATCAGTATAATCAAGATCCCACTGATTACCCTCCACCCAAAATTAAAATGAAAGAAAGAGTGTCTAGAATGTCGTCAGTTACAGGAAGACGGTAGCTACCTTTTTTGTGTGATGTCGTTCAACAAGTGATAGTCACCGAAAATCAACTCGAACCACCTTTCTTTCGGACCAGGACGATGGAAGAGGACCAAGGAGTTGCTTAAGGCTCGATACCGTCGTTTTCTTGCATGCTCTTTAGAAGTTTTCTTATCTCTTCCCGTTTAGCAATCGGTAGACATCTTGGATGTTGCTTGATTGGTGGATGATAACCTGTATCAATTCTATGTCAAACTGGTTCAACCTACGTCAGAAGACGAGAGGAAGAATCATGCATTCTGCAGCTTTTCTTTCTTCATCACTAATTGTGCATTCTGCAATAACTTCGATGTTAGGCTCTCCGAAGACACAGATTCTGGAGGGTTACTGTTTTGTTTAACGCAGGTAACTGGAGGACACGCAAAACCCTTTCGCCTTTCCTACTGACATTCGTCTTATCTGTCAACATTGGCAACTCTCACGGAGATATCATTCCACGATAGGTCGACGAGTCCCGAAACTACTAGTACTCTTTTCGGTCTGTTACAGTTCTTGGGATATTTCACGATGTCATAAAGGAAATTACAATTTTCAGCTATGGATCAAGGAAGTAAAAATCCTGTTCTTGCTGGAACTGTGATAGCCCTGAACTACGATTTTGTTGATGGATTTAACTCCTTGATCTTTAATTCCAAGCAGGGTTATGTCCTCAGAGGCAGAATGTAGTTTGATATTTTTTAAGTTCAAAGAAAAATAATATTTCATTAACCTAATCTGAGTATGCTAGAGTCGGTAATATATGCTACATATGATGTGTGATGGTAGGTGTTACGCCCAAACGTGTTAGTAACGTTTAACTTTCCAACAATTTCAATTTTATCACTAGACACAATCTGGAGGATAACGCAGTGCGGCGTACAGATAAATTTACCTCCCAATTGTTGAGATAAATTTTTTTGGATGATAGTAACATTAATTCCAGTATCGATGGTCATACTGCAAAAGAACTCCGTTGATATGTCTCATGACGAAAGGTCCATTACTGCTGCCACTCATCGTAGAAACTGAAGTACAGTAAGATCCCGCTTAACGCGGGGGTACGTTCCATCAAAGTAGAGCGTAATGCGAAACAGCTTGACGTAGTTGCAGTTGCCGATGACAGTATTTTTTCTTTATTCTTAAGAATTGTCCTTATTGTTGAAGTTGCCAAATTCAATGCAGCACTAATTTCAGATTGACGTTCACCAGAATCTAATCTTCTAATCACTTGCATTATAATTTCCAGTGAAATGCTTTTTCTGGTTGCTTTCTTTTCTTGTTTTTTATTATCACTCATGATAAAAACTATAGATCATAATATTTGTCACTTTATTAATCGTTATAGTATTATATAAATTTATACTTACAATAATGTCAACAACTGTTTCAAATGATAAAAGTGCGTCCGTACAGCACCGCACCGCACCAAACAACACAACTACACTGTTTCGGATATGTTATTTGAAACCTAGCGCTGCGCACAATTTCGGGGAATCCCCGTAGTGCTACGAGCAATTTCGGGAAATCCCCGGGTTGAAATAAAAGAGCGCTAAAACCGAAGCAGCGCTAAACGAAACAGCGTTAAGCGGGGTCTTACTGTACTTTAAAATGGGACTTCTCAATATCTGGCAACCTCAGCTCCGCGAGATGGCCATTAATTTGTTTCCTGCTTCCTTGCTTGGAAGCGGTATTATCTCCCTTGACCTGGGGTGTTTTGTAGTTCCTTCATACGTGGCTTTCACCACCGCAAGTTCCAATATTTAACGGTCAGTTCGTTGCCACTTTTTTTGTGCGTCAAGGCATTGACTTACTGGGTTAAGCTTTTAGAGAAGCAGTCGGTTGACCAACTGGCTCCTGGATATAAGCAGCTCTAATTGAGTGACGCTCACTATGAACTGCTTGCTGGGCTGCCTCGAATTTTGTGACATACACTAAAGCACTCTTTAGATCATTGACATCCGTCATTCGCAGGGCTTTCTGTATCTCAGGGCCCAGGATGCCACTGACGAAGTACTTCAGGGGCAGCATTTCCTTTGCTTCTTTTGGGTAGTCCGGATAAAAGAGATGAGACAGCCTTTAAAAATCCTTGGCTTACTTCAGGAGTGTATCCGAGGGCTTCTGTTGGCGAGATTTTAACTGAAGTTGCTATAGTCTATATAGCTACAGAAAACTGCTATAGTCTTTTAAACACGCGAATGTGCAGCTCCATTAAAAAATATAAATTTATTCCTCAATCATTCTTTCAAGGAACATTAATAGCATGTACCATATAGGGATATTATACTGAAATGTAAAATTCACAAGTTTTTTGGTTCAAAATGAAGACAATATTTTCCGAAGAAGGCAATAATATAAAGCAGAAGCATAATTTCCGCAAATAAGGAATTCTTGATAATAACATTGATCTTAAAATCTCTTTTATTAATTTTCCTTTACTTTACTTTTATTAAACTAAAGCTTTCAAGATATTTTTTCTAGAGTTGGAATGAAACCTAAATTTTCTAAAGTTCGAATGCAGATCATACAAGGTCTTCGAATTTCTAGAATCCTCCATGAAGAAATAACAAAAAGAAAGGATAGTTTCTCAATATTAAGATTTTAATGAAATCAAATCTACGTTTAATTAAAAACGAAATCAAGAATACTTAAAAAACATCTTTATTAATGAGGAAGATAGAAATGAAATTCAGTAAAAGAAATAATTAATTTAAACTTTTGAATCCTCAGATTCATTTTCTCAGTACTATTTTGGTACTACTTAATAGTTCATGTTTTACATTTTTCCACTGTTTAAATCACAGCAAATTCAGAGAAGGTAAATTATTTAAAGAGTTAATACAAATAAACACTAATAATGGAATATTCTCTCTGAAAAATTAGGAGTGTGGCATTTAAGTCCTATGCACGTGACATTAATGATCCAGATAAACTGAAATTGCAACAATTGCCATTTAGGAAAAAAAATAAAACAAAGTTTGTACTCGCCGTTATTAATGAAACTAGTCGTTTCACATCTTGAAGTACGATTCTATAGATAAAAGAAGCATGAAAATTAAAAACTTTGAATCCCGAATCTCTTTTAAAGATTCATAGGAATTTAGGATTCATATTTCCGTCTCTAATTTTTGCATACTTAATATATAAAACAAGATGAAATTCACAGTAAGGAATTTTAAACTTAAGGAAAACATCGATTTTCTAGTCTACAAATCAGTTAATGAATATAAAGGATTTCGAGTAACTGAGTAATAATAGTGCTGCATTTGTTACAGCTACTTTTAGTAAATATCCAAGGGGAAAATACTTTAGCCTCAGAATCTTACCATGTCCATTCATGAAAGTGAATCCAGCGATCATGAGAACGTAATGAAGGTTCATTTGCCTGGATCCATCTCCAGACCATGCTACCCCACCATGGTAGTTGAAGACCCAGAATAGGATAAGACCCAGTGAACCGGCCAGTAAGATCTCCGCAATGAACGTCAGCCAGCCGAACCCACACCGGACGATCATGGGGATCTCGGACTGAGTGTTTTCGTGTTTTCTGGAGACAAAGAAAAACATTGTTTCAATTTTATATATGTCAGATAAATTTTATTAAGAAAACTGCTAATAAGTTACATGAAACTAACTAAAAATCAAAAATTATTATACTGTTTTCACTCCTTATGGGATGGATTTTAATCAGTTCACTGCATTTTATCACTGCACTTCACTGCATTTTAATCAGTCATCTAACTCCTTTATGCTTAGATTATTAAGAATTCTAATTCTTTTATGATTCGTGGACGTACCAAAGAAATTGGTAATATTTATACAAATAAAACATGTATAAGGCTAACGCCGTTTCTTTCTAAGCAGTGGTTATATGGCAGCAATAAAAATATTTCAAACAAAAGAAGCAAGTCAATAAGGTTAAAAAATAAATATGACAATGTAGAAAATTAAGAATAATTCTCACAGCATTCTAAACCTCTTAACTTTTCAAGACTTTTTCTTTTCTGATTTTTCTTTCCTGAACAGAGAGCGCTATGGAGCCGTCCTCACAGCCGTCATTTCGATTATTTTATTTAAATGTTTTAATCTTCTGAAGAGTCTTTTGTTTCTTTTTGTTCGCCACATTGAACAGAAAATGAAGTTTTTAATCATACATGGCAATAAGTTCTTCCGTTTATCTTTAAAACGGGAAAAGTGCTTTTCAAATTTTCACACTTTAGCAGAGAAATGTCGGTGACGTGTTTTAGTACAACCTGGTACTTCAACATCACCAGATGAAAATTTTGCCAGTATTTCTAAATAAGAAAAATTAATAAAATACCTTTATTAACTCCGTGGTCGGGTGCTTGCTAGGTGTTCAAACTGACCTTATTAATTTAACCTTATTAATTCAAACAGAAGATGGCCTTATAATACAAACGTGTAACAAAGTAAGACATTTACAAACAGCATATACTTCTTTTATAACAATATTGAATTTATATTATTTAAGCCTCCCCAAAGAATATGCATGATTAAAGACTTTATGCCACGCCAGTTCGTGACTGTTTTAAACTTATTTACATCAATTTCATTTAAAGATAATTTTATGTTTTGGAATTTCTTCATTAAAGCGCGAGTAAAGGAAGTTACGCAATTATACTATCATACATTTATATCGGACATTCTTAAACACTTCTTAAAACGTTATACGGTTTAAAAAAAGATATTCCCGTAGAAAATATTAATATTTATATTCACAGTTGTAAGATTTTTTTAAAGTTTAATTAGCCAGTTTCTTTTAAGTTCTTAAAATTTCCGCTCCCTTTTCCAATTAAAAATTTGCAAATTTAAGGAGACGCAGAAAGGAAGTAAATCTGTAATAAGTTCCAGTGAGGATTGTGTGCTGTGTGAAATCTTACAAATTTTCTGTAGCTACTTTTCTCAATCACTCAATTTAGTATCAAGCAGCACGGCTAACACTGCACGTATAAAGGTAAGTTAGTATTAAAAGTAAACTGGTGAGAGTTTAGTTTAGTTAGCAATACCATTGCAAAGCTGCAGACGCATGAGAATTACATAATGAAGTTCTATTACTTGTGTTACTAGCGCCTGCAAGCTACAAAGGAGGCGCTTCAACTTAATAAACATTTTAGTTTGCTTTACGTAATCTGGTGCAAGAATCTGTAAGTATGGATGATATAGTGACCTAAATAAATAAAAGATAGAATTTGACATTAACATTAAACTAGCTCATTTATAAGGTATTTTTTCACTCCTTTGTGCATGCCTTCGTGGTGTAACGGTTAGCACACTCGGAGCGTATTCGAGAGATCCAGGTTCGAGTCCCAGCGACGGAATTGCACATTCTTCAATTTCATTGTTCCCCCCCCCGAAAAAAACATAATGCCTCTACGCATTGACGTTTTGTCTTCACATGAATGAAAACAGAATAATTCAGTTTACATTAAGAGATATATTCCGCACAATAAGTACAAAACGTCCTAATAAGCCACTAACACATTAGAAACAAAATATTTCTCGCATGAAAATATTATTAAATGTTTCCTTTTCAAAGCCCTTGGAAAAAAAATGGTATATTTTCCCAACAGTGTCTATCCAGCTGTAGCGTGTCAAGGCGGAGCAGGTGGAGAATGGTGTCTATGTTTAACTCCCGTGTACACAACGGATCGGCCAGATGGATAAACGTTACTGATTTATGCTAGTGCCCGAAGAGGAAGTGCGGATACATGGTTGACACAAACGGAACATGTTGCCTTCTACTGTATTTAGCAAAGTTTCTGCATGCCAGTGGTTTTTGTACGCTCCTAACTTAAACATGGCTTTATAATTAAGTAATCCGTTTATTTTTAATAGGCAGCTGGCTTATTTTTTCCATAAAGATGTTTTCGAGATTCTGTTTTGTTTAAAATGCTCCTGGTTCGCCTTCTTAAAGGTAACTCTTTTTTATCTAGAGGACTATTTATTTATGATTATAATAAGGAAAACTGTTTATTTGTACTTTTATGAAAGTCTTTTGACAATATGTAATTATAAAAACTTTATTATCCTTCATTTCAGCATATGTGCACAAGTTTGAACTGTAACGTGAGTTTCGCTTAAAATATTAATAAAAAGACAGCTTTCAGAGAAAGCATTCTTTTCATTCCATACCGCACGATATGATTCAAATAGTGATAGGGATACATCGCTTTATTAAATAAGTCGTATGCTAAAACCTACGCATATTTTAAGTTAAAGTGCCATTCGATTATAAAGAAAAATATCTAACCTCTTAACAAAATGCTGTATATGAGGAAGAGCGTGAAGAAAATTACACTGGTGGGGGAGGGAGGTCTGCAATATTACACTATCTTAATTAGTATCTGTAAATAATGTGCTTATAAGATGATTTCTCTGTCTGCTTTTATCTACAACAGCATAACTGGAAATCAAAAATAAAAAGGTAATAAAAAATTAAATTTAGGGGCAAGGATTCATAATATTCATAATATCATTAATATTATGTAATGAATTTCATGCCAATAATGCTGTATTTTAAACTTTCATTATTATGTTTCCTTACATTTCTTTTAGCAAGAAAGGCTCATGTGCAGTCTGCAAACATTTAATGATAATATCCTGTCCGATTTTAATTAAATATTTATTATGGTAGCAAATTTTGAAGCAATTTATATACAAATTATATATGCATGAAACAAAGTTTTTAAATTATTCGTAAGTTTTCTTAAATTACCTCAAATCACAGAATAAGTGGACACCCGTAGTTCAAAATCGCGTTCATTATGAGTCAACTGTATATTTTATTCCAGCTGTATCTTCTAACATCTTACATCGATGCTTACATTACAGATGCAATTTGTGCGTTAAAGTTGCTATAAAATGAAACTTTCTTAAACCTTAGATAAGGATCATTTCCGCAATAAGTTGACAGACACATTAAAATGGCAGCTTTTCTTTTCTTTTTTCTTTTTTTAATTTTCTTTTTTTCCCTTTTTTTTATTTTGTTAAACCTCTTAAATAACAGATTTAGCTATCGCTAATTTGTTCATAAAGTCAACAATCTTAGAGATTATATGGTGCATTTATTTAACGATTTACAAACATTGCGAAAATGACTTCCTTCAAACAATAAGAGAACCAAGAAGTATCAGTTCCAGGCGAAAAAGAACCATATTCGTCCAGATCTATTTATGGGAGATAGAATTAGGGCACTTTAGGATACTATGCTACGGGAGCGATTAATACTTTCCTGAAACCGTAACTGGCTGGACAGGGAAAATTTGAAATTGGACATGAACGTGAAAAGAGCGATTAGTAAATTTCGTCATTTTCCTTTCCGCTAGAGTTATACTATTTTCGTGTAGTCTGTTTTATTAATTACTTCTCGGTTCATTTCACAGTTCATAGGAGTCGAATTTGACAGATAAACTAAAGATATCTGCTTTCCTACTTAATAATAGCTCCTTTTCAGGAACACCGCAGCAAAAAATCTTTTTTTTTTTCTCTTTGTGAGCAATAAATATGTTTGTTAAATAGGCCCAAATTTACATACATACGCAATTATATAACAAGGCTGCCCTACTTTTAAGTGGTTACCTTCTTTTTTATAAGCTTTTATTTAGTTACCTCATGATGTTTGTTGCTATGGTCAAAAATTTGTCATATAATTTTAAACAACTTCCTCTTAAGCTTTCGCAGTCAAATTTGTACACACACTATTTGTGGATGGTAATAAGATGCATTGAAGAGATAATTTTCACACTTCGATTTCGATTTATTTAAATTTAGTATTAAACGATTTTACACACATATCGTTTAAGGAACAATTTAGAAGTCTCGGAATTTTATTGTTGCACCATCGGATATAGCAGATAATTCTTTTAACTGAAACTTGTACGAAATTTTTAATGCAATTTCTGACTTTTTTTTTTTTTTTTTTTTTTTTTTTTTTGGAAAATTTTGAAAAATGCTCAATTTTGTCCAATACTTAACGTCTGTTATTGTTAAAATTCAACATATATCGGTTACAGAGTTTTTAAATTTTTACTGCTTATAAAACTTCGCCCTCTTTTAAAATGAGAATGAAAAAAATATTAATTGGACGATTTTTACACTTTTTTTATCTGAATATGCGACGAAACAGAAGTGAAACTACCGATTCTTTCTTTCGCATGGAAACAGTTTCAAGTTTATTATGTCATTACGTCAGTGCATTTAACTTTTGTTTCGATTTTGAATTAGTCAACGAAGGATATAAATCAGCGTTATCGTATATATAAATCTCAGTGATTTGAGAAGACAGCAACTCTTTATTGCTTATTTTTGTTTAAATCATATATGTAATTGCTAAATTACAGAAGAACGAATGAAAACTCATCCCTGAAAAAATACACTTAACAGTTTCGGAAGGCACGAAAATTCTTGATCTAAAGAACCTAACAGAGAATAGTAATGTTTTCAAAACTGATCTTGAATTAGTGAAAAATGCAATAAATATAACTGCTCATGACTGACAGTTGTAATATATTAAGCCGAGTCTTTCAAAACTGTATTTTGATGTTTTTTTAATTTAATGTTGAAACGATATTTTGTACATAACTTCATCCAACGAATAAATTAAAAAGTCTCAGTATGTTATTGTTTGTCCCATCGGATAGAGAGGAAAATATATTTTAAATGAAGTTTATAAGAAATTTTAACACGATTTCTGATCTTTTTTTGGCAGAATCACTTAATAATTTCATTCATTTGATGTAAACAACTATTAGACGTAAAACAGTGATTATTCATTGTTGAAAAATAGTTTTTCAGTTTAATAATTTGAGTGAAAACGTATCACTAAGACATTAAAAATTAGAAAAAAAATTTAAAAAAATAACAAACTAAGCTTTATTTAAAACTCATAAAATAATTAATGAACTAAAAGTGAAAAAATAATTTTATCTTACAAATTAATGGCAACTCCCTCGATAAATTTATGAAGTTAATTGCTTACACTTTTGACAATGCAATTCTATTAATAGGTTTCATTATTTAAGCGCCCACGCTTTTATTATTCTTGAGATAAAATTGTAGATAGATTTTGTAAAGAGAATTACTTAATTTTTTGTTTCCATAGAGCTATGATAAATTATTTTTCTACTTTTAGTTCATTAATTATTTTGTAAGTTTTAAATAAAAGTTTATTTTATTAAACAAAGTCTTGGTTATTTTCAAGTGGTCATAACGCTCAAGCTAGGCATAACAGCGCACCGTCTAGTACGCGGGGAGCCTTTGTACTAATGGCAGTCTAGTTTTTCAAACTCGAGTATGGGAAAAAATCTCAAGAAACACCGATATGTATTCCAGAAATACTCTCTCGGAAAATTTTTAAAGAAGAAAAAAAGGATTGTGAGCAAAAGAATATGTTAGCAATCATTCAGGTGTAAATTAAGAATACAGCATTCTCTAGCCTTAATAATTGTACTATAATTAGAGAGTTAAAAGATGAATGCTTGGATGGGTGGAGAAATATCAGAGAGAGGACAGTGAGATGGTTCACAGCGTTCAGTTCTCCGTACTTTCTCCGCTATTGACAGCATTCTTAGACACAGATCAGGTTCGTGAGTTTAAAAAAATACATTTAAGAAAAACGAAACGTACACGAAAGCACAGCAACTAGAGTGTGTAAACGCGTCCCGCTTGCCCTCAGGCGCGGAAGATTTGCTCGCTTGACCTTATTCCATACAGCTTCCGCTCGCCCACGAATGTGCAGGCATTCCATGTAACTAATTATCCTCACGCATGCGTGGAACTTTAATGAAGAACACATCCTCCACCCCACAACAGTTTGAAGAGGATGCAGTGATATGCGATATGCATGTAAATTGAATACCCTCTTCTCCAAATATGAATTTGCATTCTACGCTTGAAAATGGAATTCTTTTCTAACTCAGTTTTTATGTCTCGGAGGTAATTTCGAGAGGATGTTTCAAAGTAACGCAAAAACAAGCTTTCCTGAAACATGCTTCCAGAAGAATTCAGTAGCATAATTAACATATACTGCTATGATAAAAGAGATAACTGAAGCATTACTATTCTTGTTGCCTACGGCCATCGACTGCAAAGGAAGGGGCAGCAGCTACTGCTGTCAGTAATGATGTTACCTGGGAATAAGAGTCTTAGTATTTACCACAGCTGCAGATATGAGATGCGCAGATTTTAGTTCTACAATCGTCTCACTTGAATTAGAATGCTATTCCAAATGTCACATCAGATCATGATCCAGAACGGGAAAAAAAGAATACAGTAAAATGGCTTATAAACGCCTTATGCGCGAATGCTCATATTTTCACGCCTCGAAACTTGCAAGGGAATATACATCAAAATGATACAGAATAGAGAAATACATTGCATAAGTTCTGTAATCGGCACTTTCTTACTTCGAAACTTAGTATCCCCTTCAGAGTTCTTTACAATACAAGTTGAGATATGTAGTCTTAACACTCTAGGCTCTGTCGACATATTGTACCCGAATCGAATTCTTACTTAAAATTCTTCGGCAGGCTGCTTGGTGAAACAGTCTCATTAAACTTCGGTTTGTATATTTCCATATTCTGTGTAGTGTAGGCCATTTGTCATCTTCCGAAATGACTTGACGCAATTACGCTTCGAAGCCTTGGAGGATAAAAACTCTCTGAGATACGCCACGTTCCTTGCCTTATACGGGGAAGTCATTAGTGTCTTTTATTAGACAAAGTAAGATGGTGAATACTGGTTATCAGTCAAGTTAACCTGAAAAAAGATCTGTCACATATAAGACCAGAATCAGCCGTAATTGATTCTCAGAAGAAAAATTTGATTACCGCATTTCTTCGCTTTCAAAATGCACTTTATTTCTTCATATAAAAGCCTCTGAAAAGCGAGGTGAATTTTAGTTTTGTACCCCGTTTT